TGGTTACATAGTAGCGCCGCGCCGCGCCGCCTCGCGCTTATAACCTTGAAAAATTAAAGCGTGTTATCAAATCGGCTAGTTCACAGTGAAAGCAGGTAGGAGCCGTCAACCAGCGTTCATCGGCGTTCTCGCTTTTACCGGAACGAAAATTTATTTATTTCTGCTTTTGCAGGCGCCGACGGCGCACAGAGGGTATTAAGAACTAAAAGTTGGCCAAAATTATGTTTTATGATTTTTTGCTTTTTGCTAGTAATATTAATTATTAGAGAGGGTGCTAATATGGAATCCCATTTTGTTTTTCCTACACAACATTTTTTCCTCTACTCTGAAACCCTTTCCACCGATCAAATAGGGCCATTCTGTGCAAAACCAAGCAATTGGATGAGGATGCTAGAACAAGAAAGTAATTTGTATATTATAGACGATATTTGAGCGAGGATGGGTGTTATAGGGTAAAGACTATTTCGTTTAAGAATCTATTTAAATCAATGTTTTTTTTGGCAGTGGCAAATATTGGCAAGATTTTTGTACATATTCCAAAGCTGGAGACTTTAAGCACTGAACGGATACTAATTTCCATGCGGAATATTGCCGAATAGTCTTACACCTTATAAAAATGCCTCTGATTTTTTAAATATGAAACATTATAAAGAAATAGAATAGAAGGAAACGTTTCAAAATAAAAATATGGCATAAAACAGGACTTTCCAGCTGGCTCTGTATCCATCATGACAGTTATTATAAACAATTTGCAAAAAAAGCACTACAAACAATTCCACTATTTATAATCATAGAAATTTTCAGAATACACTCAAGATAATTCATACTTATAATTGAAATATATTATTTATTTGATAGTCAACTTACGACTTAAAAAAAGCTAATAAACGCGCTTACATTTAGTATTTATAGATTTGTATTCAGTTAAGATAAAAAATGAAAATAAAAATATTTCACTTTTGGCCAGATTTATAGACCAAATACCCCTATGTGCGGGGCCGGCGCGGCGGGAGCGGCGTTTGGATATGGTTAGGTTAGGTTAGGTTAGTTAATCAGGTAAATTTCCTCTTAATTAACTACTTCCGAACCCTGCTCGCATCTCCGAAAAAGCCATATAACAATACACGGCATATACGCAAAGTTACGCATCACGTGTATTGTTATATGGCTTTTTCGGAGATGCGAGATGTGAGCGATATGTGGTCAAGAATAGGTCCCCAGAGACGGCGCTGGTTGCCGGAAAGCAGAAACCTGCCTCCACCATGTTCGTACCCTTACGACGGCGCTGAGGGTCGTCTTCGGCGATGGCCTACGATGGTTCAGCCAAACTGGACGCGGCAGACCACTATACCGGTAGCGACCGTAAAATATTGTTACAGTCTCCCCCTCTGGTTCCGTGGACATTGAGATGTCGAGGGACCAGCACTAGTGTGGTTGGTTTACTTCGGGCGGCCTCTTCTTCTGATAGGAACTTTAGGTTCTGTAGCGTCATCTCCACGATACTTGAATAGGTTGCTACAGTGATATATGCCTAGAGGTTGTCCTGGAGTATCACTGTTGGCAATTTCATAAGAGACGGGCGAAACCTGTCTAGTTATAACATAGGGTCCGTCCCTTTTTGGATCAAATTTAGTAGTACTCTGTTTACTGTGACTACTCTTCGTATGTAGCGTCACAAGCACCTTGTCTCCAACATCAAAAGTAGGCGGTGTCGATCGTGAGTTATCGGCATACTTCTTTTGACGATCTTGACATTTTTCATGCTGGCCATTAGCTTCTATAATCGTTGTAAACATTCCTTGCAGGTAAGGTGTTATTTCTGGGATAAAATTCTCATTTTCCATAACAGGCCATGGATCATTCTGTACTTTATCCGGATTTCGCATTTCTCTTGCAAAGTTGAGGTAAGCAGCACTGAAACCGGTTGTTTGACACTTGGCACTATTCATGGAAAATCGTATACTTGGTAATTTTTCATTATTCCCGGGCGTCATTCGGTACGGTGGTACTGAAATTGGTGCGTGTGACTTGGTATCAATATAGTGTCCAGCATAAGGAGTTGGTTCTCCCTCTAGAGCGAAAATATCCTGGTTGGCTTCAAGAAGGTCTGATAACTGCTTATGTTCTTCACTGGATAACATGGTTTCATCTGATCTCAAAATTGAAACGGAAAGTACTTCTATGTTGGAAATTTTGTGGCCATCTTCATATACCAAGGGATACTTAGTCAAAGTATCGTCTGCAAAACTCAAATTTTGCTGTCCGATGTCCAAAACACGGTTAGCACTTCGAAGGAAATCTATGCCTAGTAAGGTTTTATCAGCATTGAGTAGAGTCATAAATGTGTGTGTGTGTGTGTTGTTGGTATATAACGACTTCCTAGTAAAACATCAACTCTCAGAAGTTTTACTTCCTGTTCTTTCACGGTACCATCTGCAAGTTTGATCGTACTTCTGTTTTTTTTTGTAAATGGAACGTTGTGTTTCCTTAATGCTTCGTATAATGAGGAACTGGCAACGCTGTGCTTGGCGGCTGTGTCAATCAATCCTTGACCATTCATTCCTAGTATGTTTATAGGCAAAATAAGACGTGACTGAGGGTAAACAGGAACTTCTAGTTTGTCAAGAGCACAGAATTTGACAGAAGCTGCGCTGTTGGAACAAGTTGGACAGTTGTATCCGTAACATGTCACTTAGTTTGATATTCGAGGGGGATGAGTTTCCAAGGTCGAATTTGAAACAGATGTCACTGGATTACTTGGTGGAAGCGCCGTAGTCGAAGTTTTTGTTGATGTACTTGCAGTACCTTGTTTCTTTTGGCACTGGTCTTCTGTATGTCCCAAATATTTGCAAAATCGACATTTTGGACGTTTATCGTTAGAAGGTGTTACGGTTTAAAATTTCACCGTAACTTATTTTACTTATTTTGCTTATTTTTAGGAATAAAACTAAACTTACTTGAATAACTTGAATAATAACGTTTAATTAGCTTACTTCTTAACTGTACATATAACTTCTAATAATATCTTATCTATTAAATCTCTTCACCACAACAATTTCTTGAGATGGAGTTGTCTCCGATAACTGTAATATAAAACCTCATTAATAAAATATCAATTTGTCTGTTTAAAAACCTACCTTTCTTTCTACAGTGGTTACTAATTCTTTATTTAGACTTATGCTTGTGTTAGGATAATTTTCTTGGCATATTTCTTCGGAGGATTCTTGAACATAGACTTGATGTGATTATCTTTTGTCTGTTTTCAACGCAACAAGTGGGAATGTTGGGTCTGCCATATACATATGGGTTAAAGATTTTTATTATGTATTTTTCCTGTGTGTAATCAATTGATTTTACCTGATTATAGTTGATTTTTCCCTAAATTTCATCTTGTTTATATTACAATTTACAGACTGACGTTTCAATTGTTGTCAGCTGATCGTGTGACACCGTCGCTGAAGTTTGACAGATGGATCTTGTAAATTACATTTTCGATCTTTTTAAACGTTTTTATATATGATCGCAAACTGTATTAATAATTTTCCGAAGATATTATGTTCTTATAGGGATTATTATAATTTTATTATGATGTAATAAAATGTTCACTCAACTCAGTATGCATTAAATAAAATTTTACATCGAATTTTATTTTGGGTCTTTTTGTTTTACTGGTTGCCTGTGTTAGACTTTTTGGGTTGGTATCTTGGAGTCCAGCGTCTTTTGCGGATTTTGCAAACACGCGTCCTTTTTCGACTTTGAACCATCTTGGTGAAAGCAAGGGAAGCCTTCTGATCTCTGCCGAAAATAAAAGAAATTCTAGTGAAATTTTGGCTGGTCGCCGTTCCATATTGGGATTGTTCAGTAGAATTACGGTCCTGGAATTCATTGAGGGTCGAGAAGACCGATTGGCAAGAAATTGAGCTTGGCCTGTGTAGTTGGAATTCCAGGGAAAACCTTGAAAAGGGATATCTTTGTTGGTTGGAGGACAGGAGCTGTAGATGGGTGCGTGGACGTACTGGGATGAGTACGAGGACAGTTAAGGAACCCTTTTCCATGGAGTAACATGCGTTGAGACGCCATCTTGTCTTGGAAGGTCCGCATGGTGGAAAGGGTTCTTTCTTCTTATTTCTTCTTTCTTGTTCCTTGGCTCTTAGTGATGATTACGGTTTAGCTTAAGATTTTTATCAATTTTTTGTACTGGATTTGGTACTGCAACTAATGCCATTGTGACGTGAATGCCACTGTGACGAGGAATGTCACTGTGACACTGAAGACCGGCAATCTGGATTTTCTCATGGACTGACTGGAACGATCACTGGATGACAGATAAGACTTTAATCATCTCTTATTTTATTGCGTTTATTGATTAAAATTTATTACATTAAATATACGATCGTATGTGAACTTGGTATACCAGGGGATTTTTTTACATTTAAATTTCATTTTATTCTTTATAGACTTAATCATAATCACAAATACGCATCAGGGGTTGTTCACAGTTTAGTCACAACAATATTTTGTGATACTATTCATGATTTAATTTATTTTACGGATAGTTCATTTTTACTAGTATATATATATATATATATATATATATATATATATATATATATATATATATATATATATATATATATATATATATATATATATATATATATATATATATATATATATATATATATATATATATATATATATATATATATATATATATATATATATATATATATTTCATTATTTCGTATTTAAATATTTGCTACATTTTTATGATAGATCTTGGCAATTTGTTTTAACTTTAAATTTAATATTTATTAAACGAATCCAGTACATTTTGGACTTTTCAATCAGTACACTTTTTCCATACACCTCCCTTTTGATATCTCTTGTTCTGTGCATATATATTTTACTTAATTATTTACTGAGCTAGCTGGAACCTATTTGTAACGGAACCTGGTGAATCTGAGTTCTCATTATAAACTTTTTCACCCAAGGTGGCGTTATAAAGGCCTGATGTCAAAATGATCAACAAACGTTTCTTCTACCATGCCACATTCTTTAAGTAATTCGTTAAAAGTAGGGACTTTATCTCGAGGTACTTTTTCTCGTATTCGTTTATGTAACAAGCCATAAATCATATCAATCTGCGTCGACTCGGTTAGGGTATTGGCTGGAAGTTGCGCAAGCAATGAACGTGATTGACAGATAAATACATCAGAAGGTGTTCTAATATCTTGTTCATTTGAAAATATTTCCCGACATACAAGATATGCTAGTTTTCTTGGACCGAAAGTTAAACGTAAAAGATCGAGAGCAGTTTCCCATGTTGCGACAGTGTCTTTTACTCCGTACCACCACGTAGCGGCAAAATCATCGAGTAGCATAGATAAACCACGCAGAGCGTTCGCGTCGGACACTCTTGAGCAGTCTTTGAAGGTTTCTATATCGTCTATAAAAGCATTTACGTCAGAGTATTTGTTACAGTTAAAACGCGACGAACATGAAGAGAAATTCCCTGTTTCCAACGGCTGTGTTGACAAATTACTGATGCGTGATAAGAGTGCTTCAAATTGTTGCTGCGAGTTACGTTTCAGTCCCAGAAAGATGTATTTTTAAAAAACACAAATTTTGGAATAAACTTAAATTTATTTTACGGAACAGCAATTGAATGTTACAAGTACAATAGCTAGACAAGAACTAAAATTAAAATCTACATTGATTTGTGAAGAAACCTCTTCTTATGGCAAACTGCTGAATTGTAGGTTCCCAGGCAAAAGTGCAGGTGCGTCCTGCGGATGTCGTCCGTGAGAAGTGTATCAGTGTATTTCGACTGTCATAACTCCTCCCTCCTTAAGATAAAAAGATATGGCAAGAGTCATTGATTGATTCTTCTTTGGGGGATGGTGGTTTCTTAAACTTCTTGATGAAAGACATCACTTCTTTCTTCTTGAAAAACAGGAGCAATGCCAATATTAGTAATAAAATAAAAACAGAAATTAAAATCAATGAGGAATTATTGATTGATTCGTGTATTGGAAATATCGGTTGCAATTGATTGGCCATACTTCTTATTTCGTAAATATTTTCAAAATTTAATTTACTAATATTGATTGATTCAAGTAATTTATTCTGTGTTATTTGTTCGAAATTTAAGGCTGGTAGTATTAAAGGTTTTCCTTTACGGATTTGTCGATTATTAAAATATTTTTTATTATTGATTTCTATTTGACAATTTTCGGAAATTTGCAATAAAGTTGGTTTATTAATTTCGAGAAATTGATCAATTTTGCATCTGGAAAATATTTTTTCTTTCTTTATTGGGATTATTAAAACTTGATTTTCTGTGATTTGTTCAGAGATGGCTTCTTTTACGTAAATGTTGACTAGGTCGCAGTTTTCGGATGATTGATTGGATATCATTTGAAGAGTACATTCATCTGGTGGGTGGAAATTTTCTGTGCAGTAGAATGTGTCTTCCAGGGATGGACAAACATCTTCTTCGAATTGACTTGTTGAATCTTCTTGTGCCAAATAGGGATATTTTGGAATAAAAGCTTTGTGATTTTGGATTATAGGGTATAAATGGTAAAAACTTAAGGTTTTAGTTTCGACTATTGGTACGTGTATTGCAAATTTTACTTTCGAATCTGAAGGTAACTTGTGTCCGAAAAATTTGATAATAGGATAGAATGTTATTAAATTTTGGAATTTGTTTTACGTCATAGATCGTTTTTGAGTACCTTATCATTTTCTCTAACTCTAAACTTGGTAATATGGAATTGTGTAAAGTGTTTAATTTTGCGAACATAATTGGCGTCTTCAATATTGTCCAAAAATGTTATTATATTTTGGCAATCCAATGAAAACTTATAAAATCATTAATATTATTTATACTTATCCCTACATTTTCTTGGAATCTTTTTAGGCCATACTCTAAACTTTTTTGGTTATTATATAGTGTGGTTAAAGTGTTATTATAATGATCAATTAAATTTTTTGAAAGTGAAATTTGTAAGTTTAATTCCCTAATAATATTTTCTTGATTTTGATTTAATTTATTTATAATTTTATCGTATCTTTCTCCGTTATTGGCATCAAGAGTGCCGAATAGCCATTTCTGCGCTTTACCTACAAAGTTTAAAAGTGCTCTCCTATTACGTATGTGTGGGCTGAGACTGTTCACCTTTTTTACAGTTGTTTTAATTAGAACATCTGTTCGAGATAACAAATTCTCAGATATACCATGAAAAGACATAGGATTACTGCTATTTTCTTTCTTTAAATAATTTTGTAAAATAAAGAATTGCTGTTCAATAATTTTAAATTGTTCGATTATATCTCTTAAATCTATATAATGTATAAAAGTATGTTTCGCGTAAATTAATTTCGCGTTTCCTAACCTACGTGGTAATATTAAATTATTAAGTGTTGTCACTTGGAGATCTTCTCCCTGGTGGCATCGAGTTTGAAGGACCTGGAATAGCATCCATGCCGTCAAGATTTTGGGCAGCATTGTCACCCTGTAACGAAGATTTTTTGTTGCATTTTGGTTTACGTGCGCTTTGTTTATGATAAGTTCCTTTATCTGTCTGAATTTTAATATCAGTTTGATTGATGACGTTTGCTTTTTTATATTTGGGTAAATCTTTATTTCTAGATTTGGTTTTAATATAACCCGTATCTGTCTTAACGAAATCAGGTGGGTCAGACCTGTTCTGATTGATCTTTTCTATGATTTTTTCTTTCTTTTCCCGATTAGTTATAGCTATTTGTTTATAGAGCTTATCGGTACTTTCTTTGTAATTTTGTATATAATTTGAAATGATGGTATCATCGTTTAAATCAAACGGATTTAAGTTGTTTATGTGTCCTTTAATTACTTCAAACGGGGTAAACTTTGTTACGGAATGTATTGAATTATTATAGCCTAGAAGTGCTCTTTTCATAAGTTGTTCTGATGTAAAATTATTATTTTGTTCTTTTAAACATCGATAATGTTCGATAATAGTCGAATGAAATCTTTCGACCGGGGAATTTGAGTTCGAATTTTTCGCGGTGGTATAATGTAATTCGATTTTGTAGAGTTTGCAAAAGTCTTCAAGATCTTTATTCTTAAATTCAGTGCCGTTATCGGCAGTAATTTTTAGAGGTAACCCGTGATGACTAGTAAAATTAAAGAGATTTTCTATTACGGCGGTTCCGGAGAGATGTGGCAACAAGTAGGCTTGTGCATATCTCGAAAAAGTGTCGATAATCGTTAGATAAATTTCATTTGAGATCTTAAATCTAAGATCTATATGAATATGTTCGAATGGTTTTAAAATAGTTAGGTGTTGGTGTTAAATTAAATTTAATTACTGGAGGGTGTCTGTCGTATTTGTTTTTCTGACAAATCTCACAGTTATTAATATAATTTTCGATATCATCTCCCATTTTCGGCCAATAAAATTTTAAAGATAAAGATTGTTTCATTTCGGTTATACCGCGATGACATGTTTTTGTTGTATGGTATAATTTTAATTTTTCTACTTGTTCCTCTTTTGTCTCAATATCTTCCAAAAATTTAGAACACTGAGTTAATCGATAAGACGAATTTTTGAATAAATTTTGAATCGTTACTGCAAAATGTTTTGCAAATTCTGGGTCACGGAAAAATATCGCGTAATGTTTCTTTGCGAAGTTTTATTATTTCCGATTTTTCTTCTTTGTTAAGGTGTTCCGTTCTAATTAAATTTTCAATATTAGATTGTGCGTTTAGATGTTTTTCAGAATTAGACATTATTTCGTTCGTAAAATTCTCAAAAGTATAAATTTCGCAAACATTCGATTGAAAAGAATCTACCGGAATCGGCTGATTCAGAGTGACTGAAATTGTTCTGTCTGTAAGATTTTGAACTTCTATAGGAGCAAACCCGTCTTTTGATTTTGTTAAAATTTGGGTAAAGAATAATTCGTCAATTTTTCCGGCTCTTGTTAATATTTCTCCTTCATAAATGCTAACAGGAAGATTTTTGATTAATTTTTCAAAAGGATTTACACTGAAAGAAAGTTCTACTTCAGATGGTTGTCTATATTTAAATGGTATTTCGATGTTTTTACCAATAAGTTTCTTATTTATTAAGTCAATATTTAAATTCATAGCAATTAAATCATTGAGTCCGATAACACCATGAAAATAGTCGTGAAAATCAAAAAGTATAAAACATAAATTATGGTTTAACCCAAATTCTTGAAAAAGTGGTAGTGTTGCTTCAAATTTTGTTTCTTTGGTGCCTACAGCTGTTCTAATTTTATTTGTTTGGTGATAAATATGATTAGGAGAATATTGTTCGATTATAGATGGTCTAATGATTGATTTACTACTTCCTGTATCGATTAATAATCTAATATTATGAGGTTTGGAAAATTCTATATATGGCAAGGCATTAGAAGAAATATTAATTTCTATCAACTCTTTTGATTTGGTGGGCTCTCTATTTGAAAATTTTCATTATAACTTTCGGATTGTTCATTAGAGATATTATTGTCAAGACTTAAATATAGGCCAACTTGGGTTTACATCAGATTGGGAAAAATCATGTAAAATATAATTCTGGTAAACCAATTTGATGTGGATTCAGGGGAATCATTCGCGTATACGTTGACCTGAATATGTTCTTATAATAAACATTGTTAATTAAACAATTAAAATCAGGTCGATGTAAGCGTGATGTTTCAGGGCTAGCTCGTACTAAATATCGGTGCTGGAAATATACAAAGGAGATTTTTGAGCACGTACCCGCCGATAATTGGGACGAGCGGAAAAATATAAAATGGTGTGCTGAAGACAGGAGGAGGTAGTTGGTTAGTCCATCGATGTGAGTCGTATTATACAGTCAGTAATTCGCGTTATCAGTCCGTTAGCAGAAGACAGCGCAGACTGAAGATGTTCCTGTAAGTACTTAGTTAACTAAACCATTAAGTCTTGGCATTCCCCAAAATTGTATTATACTGTGAACTTTATATTAAATAAATGCACATTTTGTTCAATGGTTGTTTTGATTGAGAGAGAGAACCTGGTATAGCGAACCTAGCAAACAACCCCCAGCTAGGTCGCGACATTATCATCAACATATGTTTGACAATATTGCTCGTCATTATAATTGTTGTCTGATTGATTATAATCTTGATCGTAATAAGCTTGATTATAATCGATATCTGTTTGATCAGAATTATTTTGATCATACTCGTTAGAAAATAATTCTTGGAAAACCAAATTCGGTTTATTGTCATACATTTGTTGTCGATTTCTAAAATTTTGATTTTGAAAACTACCCCTATTAGAATTTAAACTTGGAATTCGCGATGTGGTAGACATCGGTTCCGGTTTAGGAAGTTGACTTGCAGGTATCGGTTTAGGCTTAAAAACATTTTGTGGAGGCCCGAATACCTCTCGATTCGTCGGAAATCTTTGTGGTGGCACTGGCCTCGTTTGTATATTTATAGGTTGAGAAGGCCATACATATTTTTGTTGTGAATTATTACCAAAATTATTTCCAAAATTGTTATCAAAGTTATTATTATGATTTTTCCTTGGATTATTACCAAAATTATAATTATTTGGATTATTTTGAGGATTAAACTGTGTAAAATTATTCGGATTATTAGTAAAATTTCTCTGATTTTGTTGAGATGTATTTACCTGCGGGGAAGGTTGCGATTTAAATGATGCATTTATTTTTTGTGGTGGTGGAAAATTAGTATTCCCGTATAGGTGTTCAAAATTTTCGAATTCATTAACACATTAACATGCTAAGGCACCTTCTAGCGTTTTAGGCTTTCTCAGATGCATGTTATTTCGTAAAATATCTGAACATCCCGCAATAAATGTATTAAGGGCGGTTTTATCTAAATAGGTTATGTGACAGAGTTTCTGATCATTTGTAATTGTAGTATCGTTGCTTATGCGCTGAACTACATTACTTCTTAATAATTGTAAACGGCTACCAAAATTTAAAAGTGATTCATTTTTATATGGATGTGTCCTAGTTAATTCCTGCACGAGACAATCTAAATCTCGTCGATCGGCAAAACTTTGAATTAAAGCTGTTTTAAAAGAGGTCCAATCTGTCAATTCTGCGCGATTTCCTACCATAATTTCGGCTTTACCTATCAATTTTCCCTGAATACATTCAAATATATGGTCATTTAAACTTTTGTCCCTTAATGATTTATAGCTGTCAATAAAATTTTCGCATCTTAAAATAAATTTATTAAGAGTATTTACATTTCCATCATAAGGTTTAATGTTTTCGAGTTTGGATTTAAAAAGATCCCAGTTATTATTTTCTTATTAGAAATTTCTATCGATTTTTCTGATTTTGAAAATGATAGATTACTTAATTGATCTACAATATCATCAATTTTATTCATGAACTAAAATTATTTATTTAAATCTACTAAAATAATTACTTTCTAAAATAACTTTCTTTATTTAGAAAAAATGTAAAAAGTGAATTTTTGTATGGAAAATATTTAATTATTTTTGTTTCTTAAATCTACGTGTCTTTGATAGACTGAATTAAATCTAAATTGTTCTCAATGAACTGCGAAAAGTACGCGATGTACAGAACCTAACTATCCCGACCTAAAATCTTAAGCAGAGGTTTGGAAGAGGCAAAAAGGAATGGCACTTACTTTTTTTCGTAGTCTCCAGTCCCTTCCCGAGTTCTCAGCTGTTGCCTTGGGGTTGATTTTGCTGCTGGACCGTTGGTTCTTCCCGGATTCGTACTGAAGGGTTGAAAACCACAAGATGCAAAGTCCGATAGACACTTTCGTACCGAAAATTGTACCCGCACAAATCCTACCGACTGCGCCAGTTACGTTTCAGTCCCAGAAAGATGTATTTTTGAAAAACACAAATTTTGGAATAAACTTAAATTTATTTTACGGAACAGCAATTGAATGTTACAAGTACAATAGCTAGACAAGAACTAAAACTAAAATCTACATTGATTTGTGAAGAAACCTCTTCTTATGGCAAACTGCTGAATTGTAGGTTCCCAGGCAAAAGTGCAGGAGCGTCCTGCGGATGTCGTCCGTGAGAAGTGTATCTGTGTATTTCGACTGTCATAACTTGCGTAAGAGTGACGTTTTCTTCTACCAAGTTACGTAATTCAGATGTTTTTCTACTACTGTGGCTCCGTAGCCAGTATCGGTTTTCTTCTGAAGGTTGCAGAGTGAAAAAAATGTTCAAAAACTTACCGAAATGATGTGGTTTTTGATTTTTTTTGTTTTCAAACCCAAGGTGCTTGGATTGGATGATTTGTTGAAGTTGGTGAAAACTATCAGGTTTTAGTGTTGAATTTGCAGCCAAACGACGAGTTTGCACTATGCTGAGTAAATTTCTAGGAATTATGTCCACACACAAATGTTCCAGAATGTTCACTAGCACAATTTACAATGTTCACAAGCACTGTTTCACCATTGAACTGTTCACTTTGATAAAAAT